CAAATTCCTTTTGCGAGCCCTTCATGAGACTCAAACATAACGCAATTCAGCTTAACATAGTGCAGGCTTGCTCTTGGGTACACAGTGTTCGTTTATTGCAGTGCAGCTTTGTTTGAAGCTTGCATCGTTATGCTCCGAAACGAACCCCGATTTTGTGACGCAGATTTGGGCGGCTGTTTGAGTTTTGTACAATAGCACTTTTACCGGCATTTACAGTGCTTTCTATATGTTTTACATATGGAAGAAAGCCGGCGGTGGATCATGGGGGGGGGGGGGGGTGACCATATACATATATATGTATACACCTATATTTATGTGCATGTTTATCTTCTGTGAACTGTACATCTATAGTTCTAGACATCGACGAAGGCATAGGTGTAGATACAGGTATAGGCAGGGGTAAGGTAACAGGGTTGGTTTAGGTGTAAGTAGAGCGGTAGATACGACATAGATACAGATATATGTATATGCATATGTATACGTATACGCATATGGATATGCATATGTGTAGGTATGTGCCTATCTGTATGTTTATGTGTATGTTTATGTACCTGTGTACGTAAACTTACACGTATTATATATTTTTTATATAGAGGTATTTATGTACGTATATATAATACATATATAGGTACATATATATATGTATATATATACATATGTATGTAGGTATACACACCTTTGGATGTAGGTCCATGCAGATGCAGGTTTCTGTTTTTGTATGCGTTTATGCGCGATCATGCTCACAGTTCTCCCGCTCTCTCAGATGATTGATGTGTCTTCGTTGCCTTGCAGATCCACTCTCCTTGGAATGCTCAAGGCTTGCTTTCGGGGCTGGAGAGCTCGTTCGAAGTATGGTCACGCCTAATAGCAGGTCTAGTCAAGAGCCGCCTCAGCGGAATCGACCTGCTCGATGTGCAGCAAGATCCAGCAGCCCAAGCGAACATGCCCACCCTGGCAAGATTGCGAGGTTATACTCTTGTACACCATTTGACCTTAAATTTCTTTGTTCTCCATATCATGAGATTATCCCATCTCCCCAAGCGGCCCAGGAAGCTCTCGGAGCGCTTCCACGCCGAGCTGGAGGTCAGAGATCCGTCAGAGATGGGCCGCGGATGATGCTGCAGAACCAAGTAACTACTTGTGGCAGTGGCACAGCGAGCACGCGAGCTGACTTGTGACTGAAGAGCACCAGGGAGGAAAAGCACCAGGGAGAGAGAACAAAACATCGGTGAGAGTGGTCTTGGCTCTTCCTCCCGTGACTTCATGCTTCATATGTGTAGTAATTTGCATTTAGCCCACGACGAAGTTTCGAGGTCCCGGAAAGTCGGAAAGGCTCTGAGAAAACCCAGCTAGATGTCAATATCTTGACCTCGCAGGACCTCCGCAAAGCCGAGACGGAAGCGAAACAGGCGGCGCCGGGAGGGTCTCCGAAATTTACCCCTCTGAAGTTGGCGCATTGAGGCGATGTATATAGGGCTCTGGCACCTCCAGCTGCGGTCTCAACGCCTTAGTATCTGTCGCTCAGGAGCATGAGCTCATGCTCAACCAGCTCGAAATGGAACACGACGCTCGGTTTTCGCAAAAGTGTTCAGGATAGGTCACATGGCAGCCATGGCTGCGAGGCTCCAGGCGTCTCCTCATGCTGTTTTCTGCAGGCATGCCGTCTTCGTGTGGTAAGCCTGTGCTATGTCCTGCTTGCAGCATGTCCATAGCACACAGCAAGCAGCTCTACGACCCTGCAACGTGAAGATTCCCAGGATGGTATGGAAGCAGCGCTTCGCACGAAGCGCTCTGCCCTAGGTGGGGATGTGCTTGCTCTTAAGGCATGCTTGCTGTATGGACTTCACTCATAAGCTTCAACCCAACAAACAGCAGGCGACGCGCAGAGAGCGCAGACGGAGGCGGGCGAAGAACTTGAAGATGCGCGGAAGGAGAGCAGTCAGTGCACATTTTACTGGAAGTTTGGTCTTGCAGCTCATGGGTCAATGTCTTGCCGAGGGTTTAGTTTTGACAGCAGTGCTGTCCACATGGTGACATCTCCTGTGGTATGATGTTCTGTGCTGAAGCACTTGGAGCACGAGAGCCTGGATCCGCTGAAAGCCCCATTCACGAAAGGTTTCAGCTGTTTGTACATCCCACTTGACCTGTGCTGCTCTCACCGATGCCCCTGTACCTGCTAATCTTTGCCACGTCAACCCTGCCGGGGCAGTCAGAGCCCTGAGACCCACACGTGTTACTTCAAAAAGCGAGAACCCAAGCCGGAGGACTTGCAGCAAGACAAGAAGTACCTAGAGGACTTGCACGTGATGTGTAGCCTGAAGGCGGGAGCCTTGATGGGGGTGTCTAAGGGCCATGATCACTCCGATTACGAAACATGATGCAGACCGGAAAGGTTCGTTGTTCGGACAGCTGTTAGTCAAGGCGTGATTCCTTTGACGAAGTCACATGTGCAGAATTGGTGAAGGATCTTTGAGGTTCCCGTGGATCGGTCGTGCCTGACAGTCTGCCTGCCTTGCACTCCACAGCTCGATGCTGTCCTTGGCTTTGGCGGAGGCCGAATCCTTCAAGAAGCGCCGCAGCAGCCGCCAGGCGAAGCTCGGGACTTGCAGAGTCTAGACAAGCTGCGCGAGCCAGATGCAAGCACCGAGTGCTAGGTTTCTGATAGTGTGGACAACAGACGCACATCCAAAAGATTCTCTCGTGCTTCTCACTGACAGCTCAGCACATTCCGCACACGAGGCTGAATTGGAGGCTTTGAAAGCAGCCGTTGGATTGATCAGGGACAAGGCCGGATCTGCCTTGGGCTCTTGAGCTTTGGTCTCTTGCAGTTTGGCTTCCGACGCGGTATTCTGTCTCTGGCGGTGGCAGGAAACAGGAACGGGCCGTAGGTGTAGGTCTCCAGAAAAGTATCCACTTCCGTTCGAGTGTGCCTCATCTGCCCTGTGTTGAGTGTGCACATCCCTCGACCTGCAGCCTCAAGCCTTCAGAGCGGCAGCCAGAGGTGTCTGGTTTGGTACAGAGCCTCGGCTGCGAAGTGCACGGCTTCCATACGACATGCTTCTTTCCAGTGCTACGGTCTGCCGCCAGCGGCTGCAAACACTGTGCAGCACAAAATGCGCAAGCCACGGATCTGGTTTCCTCTCCTGCCGTGGGTCGCTGATCGGATGGGAAGAAGTGCCATGCTTTCTTATCTTTTGAAACCTCCATCCGAGGCTTCGGCGGGGTTCTTCCCTCGTGGCACTCCGCGGCGAGGCGAAAAGCCCCCGGGCTTCCACCGCCTATGAGGGCTGATCCTATGACACATCGTCCACACCCTACAGCAAGCATGCTAAATGTACACTCGGCAACTGTATCAAGAAAAGCATTGAAAGCCGTATGGAAGAGAGGACCAGGCCCCAGCTAGCTTCGACTTTCGTCGCCGCTTTGTCCGGAGGTGCATCGAGCTTTCCAGGCTTTACGTTCCGGCGGCCTTGAGGCATCGACTGGACTTGGGAACTTCGGGAGAGCGACAGGGCATGACGCGAATTCCCCGGTGCCTTGCGTGGATCGCAGCGAATCGAGGTAAAGACGACCCAGCGTGTCAAAGCAGTTAGGGCTTTCCCAGCCAATACGTCTCAATGTATCGGGTTCCTCATGATAAAAGTATTCTAGTATACCCCACAGAATCCCATTACTCCTTTTACATAAGCGTGCTATATTATACTCCTCCTCAAACCCCACGGAATGAAGTCTTTACGCGCAGAGAGGCGTTGGCCACGCGCCTCGCCGGGAAGCCTCTGGCCAAGGCCATTCCTGGCAGCGGCCCTTGTGGGTTCCGCAAAAAGCGCTCAAGGAGAAGCTCAAAAAGCGCAGTACGATCATATAATAACTATAGCGTGGTATGCTGCATCGTTATATATGTTGTAGCATAGACTATAGTGGTATAATGTATACATGTTAGCTGACAGCTTGAAATGAGGCCAACAAATCTGCAAGAGAGAGTCTTTGTACCTTGACCTTGGCAGGTCCGCCAAATGATCATGGAGACCATTAACAACCTCGAGGAGGAGTGGCACGATCGGAAAGTGTTGTCCGAAGCATATTATGGGCCCAGCATCGTTCGTAAAGCTTTGGGTTTTCCTTGATGGCCCAGAAGAAGTGAACATCGGCTTGTGTGTTGAAACGGCTTTCGGTCAACAAGCTCCGGACTGTCACCAGGCTAGCCGGGAAGCAGGAGAGAAGCAGGCCAGCGGAAGAGAGCTGGGGTGTTCTGATTTCTCGCTGAGGCGAAGCAGAGCAACGGGCTGACTTAGGTCTGCAGATGCCAGGCTAAGAAGCAGTACGCACGCTGGCAGGACTAGTGAACTAGCAGACACGACGTACATAAATCCAAAGCTCACCGAAGCTCACCTGACCTCCATCAAGCTGGTTCCAGCAACCCTGCACCAAAGAAAGTCTTCAAGGCATTCTGCTCAAAAGAGCTTGCAGCGAGCCGCGCCGCAGAGACAGTGCCCGGGAAAGAGCAGAGTCACGACGGGGTTGTGGATTTTCGAGTTTGTCTTCAGGTGCAGGGTCTGACTTAGAAGTTTAGCCTTTAGCAGCAAAGAAGCTTCGCGATAGTAGCCTTCGGCTCGGATGAAGCGTGCAATGTAGCCGTATCGGAATTTTTGGATGCTTGGCAGATGCATGTATGTATGTGTGCAGGCATCTATTTGTCTGTGTGTCTGTCTGTGTACATCTCTGTACCTCTGTCTCTCTATGTATGTGTCTAGTTGTCCATCTTGTCCATCCTTTGAGTTTCGTCAATCTGTCTGTCTGTCTGAATCTGTCTTTATCTGTCTGTGTATGTATGCACGTATGTATGGATGCACACAATGTGATCATGTGGGAGTTTCCGAAAACGGGAGAAACCTTTTTGTAGTACTCCAAATAGTAGGATTCTTACTATAAAAAACCCCAAAATAAGATACGCCCCCCAACTGTCGGAAACTCCCACGTGATCTCGTCCTGCAGTCCTCCAGGCGGCCAAAGATGCCGCAGCGGAGCTCCGCGGAGAGCCCCTGGGCCCTCGAAGAGTCAAAGCACCGCAGGATGCCGGGGTTGCCGTCAGGTTGTTTCAGCGGCTCAGAGGGGTGCATGCGCCGGGTGAGAAGCTGAAGTTTTTCTAAGCGGTTCCTTGAGAAGGGTAGCGTAGATGGGGGGGGCCTTTGCCATCCGATGTCTTTCGTCGCTCCAAGGCTGGAGGAGGCGGCCGCAGAGGTGCAGCAGCTGACCGAGGATGCGAGAGTGCTGTTTGTCCGCTCATCCGTTTATCCGCCAGTTACTGGAAGCCGCTGTCTTCTCAGGGAGCAGTTTGAAGCGGTAAGTGTAGTTAGTCGCATGACGTGATGTTGGTGAGGGTCGTTGCCAGCAAGCAGGACGAAGCAGCACTCCGCCTGGATGTGGAGAAACTCGGTCGCGCGGCCGAGGAGGTGAAGCGTCTTGCTGTCAGACTACAGCTTTTGAGAACCTTTCGTGTCTTGCGAGGCTCAGAAGGAGAGGACGGAATCCAAGACGAGAAATGCCGCCAGCATAAAGGCGTGCAGGATGAGAGATGCATTGGCAGCGATCATATTGTGGGATTAACGCTTTAACTACATGACGACCGTGCTTGTGATCTGAAGCTTGCGTTTCGGTATGCTTCTGGAGCTGAGCTGTGCGAATTATCTGTGATGTCGGTGAGCCCTCGGTAGATTCACAGTTCAGTCTTCTTCCATTCCGAAGTCTCGACTTCCACGGTCGGTATTCTGCAGCCTTGCTCTGAAGGAGGCGGAAGAATCCCAGCAGGCCCTGGAGAAAGCCATGGTGATGCTGCGGGAGGTCTATGGAAAGGCGGCGAACGCAATGTAAGTCGGAGTTGAGTCTGCTGCGAAGTCAAAGTGCTATAAGAACTTTGTGATTGAAGCAGCTGCGTAAGTCTTGGGACTGGATCGCTGCAAGGCTCCGGCATCCTTGCTGCAAGTGGATCAGACTTCGTCTGCTGGGGCCTCAAATGTCAAATCACGGCATGCTGCTTTGCATTTTCTTCCCGACTTTGGGCACCATGTGAGTTAAACACAGTAATTAGTTCCCAAGTGCCTCGTACCCACGTCCTGCAGCCACGACACCTGAAAGCTGGCTGAGCCTTCCAACGAGGACATGCCGGCCCTTGAAGGCGCTCCGGAGACGTTCCCCGATGCGGACTATGCAACTGTTCAGCACAACAGCCGGTCCCTTTTCGCGGCTGCACCACGGATATAATAGTTCTTGGGGAGTCCTTAACCCTCTCATAACCCTACAGTAGCCGCGTGTTAACACAACCTGCGATTTCCCAAGCGCTCTTCGCTCTGCGCGGACTTGAGGTCGCGGCTCCGCAGAGGGGCTTGCTGGAACTCCTTGAGGCTCTGCCTACTGCGATTTTTTGGTGCTTCGATGGTCATAATATGGTTTCTATAGGGTCATTTTAGAGTCAGTGCAGGGTTGCTATGAGGATTCTTACAAGACTGACTGTGGGGTTCAGGAGTGCTAACTATTTACTAGTAGCATCCGAGCCTGTAATGGCGTTACCTGTCATCCCTAGTTTTTATGCACCGACACGGTGCTTGTTTCTTGCACGTCGCAGTGAGGGCTGGGGGCTTTTTTGACGGTCTGGTTGAAATCAGATGTTGCCCTGCTCTTGGTGGCTTCTTGCTTCTTTTGGCCTTTACTTTATGCTTCTGGTGTCTGTTTTCTGCTTATGGTACTATTTTCTGCTTATGGTACTATTTCTCGTTGCTTGGCTTTGCTGCTCCTCTCTGCGTTTCTTGCTGTTTGCTTTTTGCTCTTTGCTTGCTGCTGCTTGTTTCTTGTTTTCGCTGTCCTTTCAGTTCATTTTTTGGCGTGACTCCGTACCCTTGCAGCTGCATTGCTTTTTGCTACATTCTTGTCTGATTTCTTGCCTCTTGCCCGAATAGTCCGGTCGTGGGTCAGTTATCGCTACACTCCGAAAATCCCAAAGCCCCAACCTACCAAAGCTTTTTTTGGTAGCGTCAATGTAGGCTCTATACTAGGCCTTGTATCAGGACACTACAAAGAGTCTGTTGTTTTCAGGTTCCCCAGACGCATGGACCAGCCATGCTTTTCTCGTGTATATCCGGACTGCAACTATCTAAGTTCATGCCTGGAACCCAAATATAAGGGGATGCGCTAAAGCTAAAGTCCGAAGCTCACACCAAGAGCTTAGTAAACAGCAGACCGTTGAACTACTTTACGGCTTCAAACCTGTTTTGCAAGCGCCTCAACCCGAAAACCATAACAAGTTCGAGTTCCCAAATATTGCAGCGAAGCGGCCCTTTGTGAGTTTGACGTAGCCATCTTGCAAGTTGTCATACCCGGATAGCTTGCCCACACTGTCTGGGGGTATCCGGGTTAGTTGTAAACGTTCGTGGCCAGGTAGCTGCCAGCTCGTACGCTTCTGCGGCAGCAGAGCTGGCTGATGAGGAGCCCCACGTGCCCAGACCGAAAAGTCCCAGGTGCCGAAACCCTCAGCCCCGAAGTCCCCCCAAAAAAAACCGCTGGATTCCGAAACCCTACAGTAAACCCTGCATCCCTGAAACCCGGATCCCTGAAGCCCCAAAGAGAGTGAACCCCAGCTTGCAGGAGAAGGCCGACGAGGGACAATTTCAGCAGTTCCTGGCGGAGACGCGGAAGGTCGGAGTTCGGTGCCGATGTTTGGGGTTTCGAGCCTGGCCAGCTCAGGGTTTACAGGTTTCAGGAATCTCGGGTTTAGCATTGAGGGGTTCGGCAGGTGACAGTCATCCTGATCTGCTCTTAGGCTTCACCCTTCTTTTTCCCCATGCTAGTGGCAGGACAAGGAGATCAAGAGTCGCGAGCTGGCACACAAGCAGGCCACCGTCCAATGCGAACCCCTGACGTGTGGGCCACGTAGAACGACCAGCGCCAGTGCCAGGATCGGCGTGAGCGCAAGCAAATGTTCCTGAAACAGGGCGAGGCTGGGCCTTTCATGGGGAGAGGGTGCGGCCCTAAACCATGCCCAAACCTAAGACGGATGCGGTTTTGCTTCCTCCTGCACCATTCCGATCTGGGTGTGTGCGACACGGTCGGGGCAGAAGGCATAGTTGTGGCACCGTCATGCACCGTCTTAGATCTGGAGGTAGGCCGCAGAAGAGCTTTGGGTGGGATTGTTTCGTGTGGTCCCAAGGTATGACTTTGTCACGGAACCATCGCATACAAATACCTCGCATTGAATTACTCCGAAGATCTGGATATAGCCTGTGGCTTCAAACTCGGGCCCTGCGTCGTCGGAAGGCGACACCTTTCACAGCCTCTCGGATCCAATGTGGGAGACAACTCCTGAAGTCTAACCCCCCAAAACCGAAGTCCCTGTGCCCAGTGCCGTAAACCCCCAACCTCCAAACTGGCCCAAGTACTCCGAGCATCTTAACTTTTAAGCTCCCAGTCCGGAAGCTCTAACCCCTGAGCCCTATGCGGAGCCGAAGGGGCCCTACTTGAAAGTTTCCGAAATTAGGGGGGTACTTTATTTTGGGGGTACAAAGAGGGTCCCCCCATTTTCGGAACCTCCCACTTAGTGATCACTAGCCCTATAACGCTAGACCCTAGACCCCCAACCTTAAACCCTAAGCCCTGAGTCCGAAACCCTAAATCCTGAGCTCTAGCTCCGTCGCCCTGGCAGGCCGAGCTGGCAACGTCGAGCGACAAGTGCGCTTCCGAGTGGGTCTAACATTAGGGGTTTTGGGGGTTTTGGGAGTTTTGGAATGTTTTTGGGGTTTAGGGAGTTTTGGAATGTTTTTGTGGGGTTTGGGGGGGTTTTAGGGGTTTTCGGGGCTTTGGTGCTAAGGAGTTTAGGTCCGGGGTTTAGAGGTTTAAGGGCCTTATAGGCGTTTTCCGAACTCTTAAGGTGGAAGGGATGCCTGGGGGCGTCCGTGCAGCCATTTTGCAAAAGGACCATGCCCGGGAGACTGTAAACTCTCAACCTTACCGCTCATGCTGGCTTGCATTGCTTCGGGGGTCGTTGAAACCCCCTGTGTTTGGGATTACCGAGGTTTGGCAAGAAGATGAGCTAGTTGCCTCTAGGACTCCACTCTCTGCAGGTTGGCAAAAGTTAGAGAGTACTTGGAGAAGCTGCAGAGCCAGTGCAAGGCGGAGCCGAAGCCGAGTTTGGAGAGCCAAAGCCGGTGATCCAAAATGCGGGCGATGCAAAGACATCCAGGGTGGTGACTAGAAAACATCGTCGGCACGGCCAGGCACCCGTGGTTACACCGGAAGAGCGGCGTCAGAAGCGAGAGGAGGCCCTGTCTCTTGCTTGTGTGCGACTGTCACGAAGAGGCAGTTGTTAGAATAGCGATTGAGGGACCATCACGGTCCTCGGGCACAAGCATCCTCAGCCTTCCTCCTTTCCCTTAGTCTCGGAGGAAATGACGGCCTTGCAGGAAGCCCTGGCCGCTCTAGAGGACGGGAGTTGAGGTCACTTCCGGCTCTTGTGCTTTTGGATGTTAAGGGACATCGTTCGGAAAGACAGCCTGTGTTCTAGTGTGCGTTCACGTCAGCTTGACTTTTGCCTGAATTCTGGATCTTTGGGAACCTTCCTTCTTCGGTTTCGAGCGCTTGCAGCATCTTCATCGCACTTTTTGCACCAGCAGTGGCACAGGCCGAAGGTTTGCTCCAGTCTCTGCTGACGTGTTGTGGGTATTGCACGGCCTTGGCACCGCACGGAGCTCTGCAGCAACCTGCAGAGGGCTGGAATCTAGCATCGCGAAAGTACTGACCACTTGAGCACACGCGGATTTGCCGACACAAGGGGGAAGAGGTGGGTTTCCTCTGCATGAGTTCGTGTCGTCGCGTGCAGCTTGCCGAAGTCCCAAACCCTAAGCTTAAGACATGCCGGGATTTCAAGCACCGAAACGTCGCCCGATGCGGCCCGATGCACGGCTTTTGATTCCGCTGCAGGGTCTCCAAAAGCTGAAGGTTAGCCTCAGCCGGTGAGATGAGCTAGAAACAAGGCGTGTCTCGTCGATGTACCACGATGCAGTCGTATGAGGCGTCCATGAGTTCTCGTTGCTCGAGTGGCACTAAGTGTGTTCTCTGGTGACGCCACTGCCCAAGCTTGGCGGATCGAGTCACGGCGGACAACTGTGAGTCTATAGGAAGCAGACTTCAGCTTGGCACAAGGGCGCCACGTCTCGCCTTCCTTCATTCTGGCATATTCTGGCCAGAGCCCTTGCGGGAGGCATCTCCACCGAAGCTGTGGAAGGTTTCGTTGCACTCCTGCGCATACATCGAACGGACATTTTTTGGACCGTCTCGTGGGAGTGCGCAAAGCCAGCTCATGTCATCTGTAAAGCCCGCAGTGTCCCGTGGATGCTAGAGGGTCTACAAGTCGAGGAGTTGGGAACTTCGGAACGCATGTTCTACCTAAGCCCTTGCAAAGTTACAAGCCCGTCTAGCTAGGTTTAGATTTCGTAGGGTTTCCGGTGTCCCTGATTTGGTGCAGCATTGCGATCCTGCACGATGTCCTTGAGCTGTTGCATTGATGTGTTGTTGGGTGGCAATTTTTGGCGCCTTACCCAGGGGAGGCAAGAGCCGCGAGTTGCCTTCCTGCACACCGTTGGCCGGGTGTGGGGCTGACTTGCTGACCAACTAGTTGCTGGACGCCCTTTCGGCCGACGCGCACGCGGTAATGGCGCATGACGGTGGAGCAATGTGCCAAGGTGTCCACCGGGGGCGAACAGAATGCGTCTGTCCCCAACACGTCTACCTCAGACGGAGGAGACGGAGGAGTTGGACGCGGCGGCACTGCTGGAAGGGAAGGCCTTGTGAGATCCTAGCTTGAGAGCCTCCGTTGTCCTTGATCTGAAGCATTGAACATCCCAACATGCGCTCGGAAATGCCGCATGCTGTCGTGGAGCTTCGGGGGTGGCCTACACTTCACACAGAACAAGTCATGGATCACGAAGTGCGACTCATGGATCAAAAGCGTAAATCATTGATCAAAAAGGATGTGGTAGGTTGCTGGCCCAACACTCTCCTTCGCGCAAGGGTGGGCACGGCGATTGATCTTGGCGAATGGTTTGGTAAATGTGATGATTCGACAGGATGTACGGCTTTGAGTCACTGGCCACGTCCTTTGAGACTCCTGATCTCAGGAGGTGTCCGAGTGAGATTCAGACTCAGCTGGAGTTTCACGGTAGACAGGGAGCCTTCTGCCCACAGCCATGGCGAAATGTTGAACTTGTGCAGGATGTGGCAATGTGGAGCATTTTCGCAACTTCAAAGCGACCCACTGCCTGCCTTCTGTCGAGTTTGCACTCAGCCTATCGCCGCTCCTCCGCAGCGTCTTGCTGGTTCAATGAACAGCCAGTGATACAAGTCGTTCACGGCTAGGCTTCAGGGCTGCGCCATCAGCGCCACAGCAAAAGAAGCCACTCCCCAAGTCAACCAAACCACTTCAACGCAGCCACCGCACGGATTTTCAGGCATCTGTCCAGGTCAACCGCTGCCAAGGGAAGCCTGGGGCCAACCTGTTCAGAGGCCGGGCTTTGGGTGCTCAAAAATGTCAGAGATCAAATTGGACTCTCACTCCGTCTGAAATCGCTTCCCAACCCGGCAGGCGATGACCCTTGGCCTGCAATGGATCGTGGACAAGCCTCTTGGCTTGCTACAGGTTCATTCGGGTTCCGCTTCTTGTGAGGGCTTGCCAGTGCATACAGCAGACGAGCTTGTGCCGATGGGCTCAGCTTGCGTGGGGACTGCGAGAGCCTTGCGCCCTTCGGGCACGGCACGACCCATGCTCTTTCGTCACTCTTACGAGTTTCCAGACATGGACCAGCCAAGGATCACTTTCCCCTCGCCCCAGTCATCGTATTCGCTTACGGCAGCACTGGCGAAGTTGTGCGGCGACAGGACTTTGAAATCAGTGCTGCGATGATCTGCGATGTTTTTGCACCAAGATGCTGAGCTAAGGTTCGTTCCCTTCCTGTGTCCTTCATCCTCCTAAACCTCGAAATAAGCAAGATAATCCAAAACCTCGAAGACCTCATTCAATTTGCGAAAGGGTTGCTACAAGCTTACGATAGGTCTTGCCATAAAGGTCAATGTAAGTGCTATTAAGCTATTATTTATCTCGCACGGTAAGCATACCGCCGGAGTAATTAAACCTCCCTGCCTGAGGCTTGCAGATTTTGTAACTACTCGGGATCTTAATACATTCAGACCCGCACAAGCAGGCTGCAAACAGGGATTTTTCAAGCATTTTAAGCCCATTCGAAGTTTGGGGTTACTTTTAAAGGCATCTATAAGCGTACTACAGGGGTTTAGGGGCTAAGGAGTTTAAGGGTTTAGGGGTTTAATGTAGGAACCTGATTACTTGAGTCTTGAAACTTTGGCCTTGCCCACCTTTCTCTGCGGCCAGTCTCACCCGGAGCTCTTCTTCGTGCCCAGGGGCAAATCATCGACGCATCCAGGGGTGTGGCGCTAAGAGATGTCCGAGACTCTTAGGAGCTTTTGGGAGCGACTTTGGTCCAGGACTTCATTGCCACAGGCTTTTGCAGATGCTGACCCTCGACATTCAGTGCAGTTGCAAATGAAGCGTGACGCCTCCACTCCGAGTTGGGCAACACTTCTACACATCAGCACACGCGCGCACACACACACACACGTACCGAAGAGATTATTGAATGAATTGGCAGTCGTACGCATTCTTTTTGGCAGTTCAACTTCTGAGCTGTGTTTTGCCTGTTTCTCGGCTCATGGCTGTCCATGGAAGGACACTAGTGGGCGACTCTGCGACTGTTGGCGATCCTCCATCATGCGTCGGTTCGGGCTGAAGATGTTTGCTGGGCTCCGGCTTTTGACCGTTCGTTTTTATCGACATTGTGCGACCACCCTAGGTGTGATCAAGACAGTCGCCACCTGTGTCTAATGTTGCTGGCCCCGCAATGTGGGCTCGTCAACGTGTGGGTTTCTACGGTTTGATGGGCAAGGCTGGGGATGACAATGCCAGCTGTAAGCCATTGTAAGCCGACGCCTCCTGCAGGTCAAGTAGGCTTCGGAAAAATGCTGTTTTTTTGGGGCAACCCTCCTCTTGAGAGTGGCGGGAGGGTGGAAGGTTCTGCCAGAGAGCTCGATCTCCACTTGACTGCTTGGCCACAGCTTCTTTTCCGTCCGAACGTCTCCCAATGATGTGTGCTCCAAGGAGCTCAGAAGCCCATCCCGACAAGTAGGACTTCTGAGCTTCCGGACAGGTTGTTCATTCTGCCCTGCTCAGACTCACACGCGTTGACACACTGTCCACATACCCAAAGAACTCTGGGCCGATTCCAACGGAAGTGATTCGGACTCCGCTGCGTTGTGAGGTACCCTGCATGCTCTATGCAGTAAGGCAAGGGGCTCCTGCAGCTTGGCCCGGAGGAGAGCTAGGGTTCAAAGCTTTGGGAAGTGAATGGCAGCTCCACTGCAGTTTCCAGGTTTGAAGTCTCGAGTCCAAAGCTTGATCTGCTGAGACTTTGCAGTTCTGTGCTCAAGTGATACTTAGCTTGGGGTTTGAGGTGTTTTTTTGCAACCTCGGGGCAGCCTTGGAGCAGTTGAATGATCTCAGGTTCTACTTGTGCATGCGCACAGCAATGGCTGTGACATTGGTGATATGCGGCAGACGCTGCACAGTATTTCGGAATCACTCAAGGTGCACGTCCCGCCGGCAGGTTTGCAATCACGCACATGGCTTCTGCCTTCCCTGAACTTGCGCTTCTCTCCGGTATGTCAAGTCAAGTTTTGTGAGAGAGACTGCGGCAAGCTGCCCCAGCATTCAAGATCTTCATGTATGAGATCTGCGTTTATAAGGTGTCCGGTCATGAACAATCGAAATCCAACAGCATGCTTGCGTGATTCGGTCAACATGCGCGTGGCTAAACCATGCTGAACTCCCACGAACCCGGGACACATCGACGCATCAAACCGTGAAGGTATACCCTTTATAGGAACCTTGTATAGTCGGCCTTAAAACAGCTAGTGCTATAGTTACACTAGGGTATCCTATACTCTGCTTTTGTTTCTACAGGGTTACGAAAACATACTATAGTACGGTACTATATGGGTGGTTGTCAAAATTAGGGTCCCTTTGTGGGTCCCTAAGAAAATACGGCACCTTAATATCTAGGGCACCCAAAAGGGGACCTAATTTTGACAACCACCCAAAAAAGCGAAAGCAGCCAGGTCATGTCTTTTGAGTTTCCAGGGTACGGCCTCCACCTGGGCAATGCCAGCATGAGGCAAGTCGAAGAGGACGAGAGGTGTCGGAGGTGTAGTAAGCTGTAGTTACTATAAGGTATACGGCATACTGTACTATACTTTGCTATACTTTACTATACTAGTCTAAAGGGATACTATAACATCCTGTAGTACTCTACTACATAGTGATCATAACATGTTATAGCATACCATAGTGTAGGGGAGGGTTTTGGGGTTTAACGAGAGAGAGTCTGTGTGTTTGCTTTCTGCAGGCTCTGGGTTTTTATGGGTTCCAAACACAAGCTCGGAAGCAAGGGCCGCAAGCAGTCTGAAGGTTCGTTCGAGTTTTGGCACCCGCGATGTTCCGGCGGTGTGCAACCAGAATCGCTTCCGGCATCACTCTGTCTAGTTCAATTCAGCTCACAGGTCTATAGATGAGGCAGCCTCTGCCGTATTGCAACTTGGCATGCGGGAAGTGGGTGTACGGAATGCAAAATCGTAGAAACGGGAAGCTCTAACTGATGCACAGCGGTGCACGTGCAAGAGACAGCCGTATAAACGACTTAACTTGCTTGTTTCCTTCCTTGTGATTCAGCGGAGATCCGCTAACCGCATGCTTGACTCCCCATATCTCCCCATCCTGAGAACCTCACGCATGCGTCCTGTTGAACCTTTGACAGCTTGGAGGAAGCGGAAGAGGTTGATTGGCAGTTATCAGAGAAAGCCGGGTGCACTGACGCGTATTTGGACAGTAGATCGGTCAACTACTCCCGTTCTGGGTCTTCGCGGCACCACAGCGGTTGTGAGGCTGAAAATCTAAACGGGCGACCACTGTCAACCCTTCAAATGTCATGGGTCGTGCTAGTCTTTCCTTTCTGATACCGTGTTATTGTCACCATCGGTAGGTTCCCGAAAAAAGTCTGGTATCGCATGTTTGTGCTGTCAATCGGTGGCATTTCAAGGGTGTCAGAAGTTTTCACGAAAGCTAGCTCTGTGGAGCTCGCGGGAGTTGCCCTTTAGCAATTCACTTGTATTAAGGCACTAGGGAAAAAACAGGGTTTGCACCTTATCAGGTGGGACGTCCAAGAGTTAAGGTGGGGGGTAGGGGGGGGGCCCCCCCTTCACCTTGTCATTATGCGTTTTCCACTGATAAGGTGCCCCTCCCCCCCCTCCTTTAAGGTGGTTGTGCCTGGGATAAGGTGGGGGGGGGGGGCCCCCCCCCATCATGAGGTCCCCCCTCCCCCCCCCCCTCCTCAAGGTCCCTTGGTTTTGTTTGTGTCTGACGTTCGGCGACTGAAGTGCGGTCTTCTCTCCAGAGTTACCTCTAGTTGTCGTTCGCACATTACTTTCTCAAGAGTTAAATGAACGAGCAACGCCTGCACCCTTCACCGGCCCAAACTTTCCCTCCGCTACTGTCGTGCACATCGCTTTGCAGAGCTCAGCACCGGACCTCGTGCTTCTAGCTTTCGTGACCAGCTCTCAAGTATTGTTCCCCAGAGACAGAGACGGACGGTTTGTTGTTCCTGCTTCTGTTTCCACGATTCATCAACAACAGCTATGCTTGTTGCAAGTGGTTGCTCAAACGTTGGCTTCGAAAGCTGCGAAGAATACTCGCCTGAGGAATTACATCGCTAACGACCTCAGGATCAATCTCTCGCAGGCCTGCAGTCCGCAGGTTTGCTGGGTGTGACGCACACGTACTGCATTCTGCAACACTCGTCGTTTCAGTTTCAACCGGGAACTGCAGACCCGTGAGTCCATGTTCATTCTCAGCGTCTGAGGCTTTCTACACTTCAATCACACGCTTCTGTCGTCCTTAGTCCCCAGCCCCTCAAGATTGAAAGAAGTGCCTTTGCCTCTTACACCCGTGCATCTCAGCAGGTGGTCTGGTATGGTCGTTCAATCGGTTCTGGACCAGCCCTCCGTGCTGTACATCGTATCTCGAAGGAGCTCTTGTGACGTGCGCAGCTCTTCTCATGAGGCATCCTCATGCCTGGTGAGCCTCTCGTGCCTTACAGATGAAGTACTCCGTGGGTAGAGCTCAACAGACCCCTGTCTTGAAGGAGTTGAAGCAGCAGCCGGGCGGTGTAGTCCTTCAGTGTGGCTTCGCCAACTTCCCCGAGGTCCGGATCCTTTGATGGGCCGACTTAATGCACTGCTTCGCGAAGCGCTTCCACCACACTTAACCTGCAGGCCGCATAGGAGCACGTACAGTTGCGGATATCGCAGAGGGGACGAGAGCAGCACCACTCGTTGCCAGTCAGGAGCGCTTCAGTTGTAGCCGTGATTCGCAGATGCAGCTCCAGGTGGCAGGCCATCTTTTCGGCCGAGTGGCCAAGCGCCTAGTGAACCGTTTGTGGCCCAACGAGGCCGCTGCGCGAGGGTTCCTTGAAGGCTCTTCATGGTTTCAATGGCTGCCGCACAAACTTCGTGAGATTTCTCGAACACGGCGGGTATGAGTATAAGTGAGAGGTCCACCAGCGTGTGTGGAGCCTCTAATCCTAGAAAACCACTGGGGCGGCAGGCGATGATGAAGGAGATCAGATGCCCAGTGTTGCTGATACACGGGCGCCGGAGGACTCAGCGGAAAGGTTGGAGGATTTAGGCGATGAATTAAAGGCATTCCATGTGGTGACAGTGCATTGCTTGTAATCAATGATTTTACAGAACCTAGGTTGCAGACTTATGTTGTACTGTAGACACTCATGACAACCACGCCAAGGCAATGACACGATGATTCCCATTTCGCAGAGCGAGAAGCTTTGGGAAGCTGTCAGCATGAAGGCCTTGTAGCGGCGAGTCTGTGCAAGAGTTTGTCTCCCTACGTGTCTGTCTGTGCCTCTCTGTCCATCTGTCGTTTTGTCAGTCCCCGTGTCGGGTCGTCCGTCGGTCTCTCTGTGTGTCTTTGTCTGCGTCTGTATGCATTGTCAGTCTGTCAGTCTGTCTTTTGCCTGCCTGCCTGTGTCTGTCTGTCTGTCTCTGTCTGTGTCTGTCTGTCTGTCTGTGTCTGTCTGTGTCTGTCTGTGTCTGTCTGTCTGTGTCTGTCTGTGTCTGTCTGTGTCTGTCTGTGTCTGTCTGTGTCTGTCTGTGTCTGTCCGTCCGTCTGCATGTACGTGTCTCCGTGTGCGTGTGTGCGTGTGTGCGTGTGTGCGTGTGTGGGTGTGTGTGCGTGTGTGCGTGTGTGCGTGTGTGCGTGTGTGCGGTGTGTGTGTGTGTGTGTGTGTGTGTGTGTGTGTGTGTGTGTGTGTGCGTGTGTGCGTGTGTGTGTGTGTGCGCGCGTGTGTGCTCGTGTGTGTGTGTGTGTGTGCGTGTGTGTGCGTGTGTGTGCGTGTGTGTGCGTGTGTGTGCGTGCGTGTGCGTGTGTGTGCGTGTGTGTGTGTGTGTGTGTGCGTGTGCGTGAGTAGGCATGCTTCTATTTGCCATGAATCTACAAACATTGACAAGAGCATATAGCCCTGTACGTGTGCTCGAATCAAATGCTACACCTGTACATGAAAATGCGCATACGTACATACACACCTATCGATCTCTGTGACTTACATACTATACATAAATATATTATGTTTCTACATATATCTTTCTTTCTCTCTCTCTCTCTCTCTTTCTCTCTCGCTCGCTCCGTCCCTCTCTCTCTCTCTCTCTCTCCCCTTTGTGTAGGTTTATGCTAGGCCTTCTGTCAAACAGGCTTGCAATCAATCTGGTGGGCTTACCCGTGTTGTGGCGTTACCATTCGTTTCGGTGATGTTGGTTGGACCGCGAGCAAAAGCCTGTTACACCATTGAATCATGTCTTCCGAAGGCTCATGCACACCGTTTCTTCCTTCCTGCTCGTGCCGCTGCCGACTCCTCTAAGACCAAAACCCTAGGGGTCCTGAGTGCTTGGGCAGGAGCTCAGCAACTTTCACAGTTGCGACTGCGGGCACAATGCTGCCTGGCATGCAATAATCCGGAACCCAGCCTTCAGAAGTTGGGGCCATGATTCGAGAATCTCTCCATGCGCGTGACCTGAGCGGTGTCTCCTCATGCGTTCAGGAAACGGTGCCCTGTGAGGGTGGCAAATGCAGCCAAGACCTATTGTCGAGAAAATGTGTGAAAACGGTTGGAATACATCGCTCCTTATCTTCAGGATTCAATCTGGTTGCCTGCCATGAATCCCCATCCCCATTCCTGGTCGGAGAGGGCGTCGTCCTGCGACTACTCTGTTTAGGTGTTTAGGGCTTTGAGCTCAGAGTGTCTGTCGCAGGCCCACCATCGCTTTTAAAGTTTGCCAGCCGTGACTCCTGTTTTGGGTTTCGGGCTGGCCACCATGTTGCCGAGGGCTTCGTACCAATCACTGCGATAGGAGCGTAGCGCTTCTGATGTTGGCTCGGTGCAGAGCTGGCCCACCACCGCGGCCCTTTCAGCATTTGTGCCCAAAGTACACAGCTCTCCAGAAATCTTCTGAACTTGAGCTCACGGTCCTGGCACTTGTGGCATCTAATTCCCCACGGTGGCACCGACACGAGCTGATCTTGGAGCATCGTCAACTCGGCAGGCACATCTTATGAGGGACCATGGGGGTGGTACGGGCTCATCGCTTTCCTATCTACCCTCCTCACGCGAGATCTCGGTCGAAAACCTCTAGCCGTTAAACCCCTGTGGAGCATTGGTGATGACACAGACTGCAGCCAAGAAGAAGAAGGATCAGCTCAGGATTTCAACTTCCGGCGCTGCACGCTGCGCCCCATCTACGATTTCCTTCTGGGAGCAGTGGCCTCGATCTGAAACCGAAATCTTACTGTATGAGGTTCCGGCAGATGCTTCAGAATATGATTCTGCATAAGTGGCCTGACTTGACGTTGCGCTGTGAAGGCTCGCTCTGCAACGCAGATGATCTCAACCACCCACACTTGTGGTTTCCTGTCCTGCTCTAGTATGTCTGTCTGTCCGTCTGCTTTTCGGTTCCCTGGACACACAGCTGATTCCTCCGATGTGCGAGCAGTCAAGTGAAGTGTCGGCATGCGGACCTTGAAGCATTTCTTATGTCATACCGATGGCGCCATGATATTATTGGTCTGATATCGTTCCTCTTTCAGAAGCGTCCATTCTCAGTGGTTCGACCCCAGAGTCCTTGAATCTGAAGAACAACACAGATACGGCGATGCCCTTGCTTCTACTCGAATTGATCAGCCACGGCGGAGAAATCTTTTACGTCTCTCGAAGAAGGACCCTCGCAGAAGGAGCCACGCAGCTACGAGATAAGCAGCACGGCCGTTCCAGGTCATCAGTTCTCCGAGTTTCCCTTCCACAAACTTCCAGATCGATGTGGATTCCAGCTGCCGAGCGTTTCCCCGGCAAGGGTTGCTCGCCAGTCTGTGCATGGCTTAGGCCATGCATTGATCTGGAAATGGTTGTCAATCTCCCTGTCCACCCAGTGCGCCGCAGAGATGTGAGCTGGCCAGGTCCATCCGTCACATTGGGCCTCTGCGCTCGCGAATCCCTGTCAGGCCCTCAGGAGCCTTGCAGTGTTGGCCCGCCTTGTTGCGCTGTGCCACAGCCACATCTGCACCTCTGCCCGCCCTGCCCAGGTTTACAGTTTCAAGCGTCTGGCTCTGAGCTCGCATCCAGACCTCCCAAGTCCACACCCAGAGCCCCCCTCCGGTGCAGTGCGAGTTCGCGCCGAGGTCCAGACTTGGAGGCAGCTCATGATGCCTAGGGGGGTCACGTGGGTCCGGTGCAAGTCTACGGGTATGGCAGAGGGGCTTGAGGAGGTGCGACATCTGAATTGGACATGCTGTCTTTTCACCTGTGACTGCGCGAGCCTGCCTGGAACAGGTACAGTAGCTTCTTGTCATTGGGAGACCATTGAGAACGGAGCCAGTCTGCCAAAGATTCTCTCCACCAAGCCCGAATAGAGCGGAACTCGCATCCGACAGGACTGGCTGGTGAGAATTAGCGACCAAAAGTCTGATGCGACGAAGGCAGGGACCTCGCACGGAAATAGGCAACACACAGGTGAGATTGTGCCTATGCACTACGAGTTACACCTAACCCGCAGGCTTTAAAACCCTAAACCCACAAGAGTAGCTGGCTTTCTGCAGACTCAGCTGTGGAGAGGCGATCGACCATACCTCGCCGCAGGCAGCAGAGTCGGCAAAGTCCATGCGGCGGACTTGGACATAGTTTGCGAGCCGTATAAAAACCCCATCGGCCCTCATAAAGCCTCCTTTGAAACGTCATAGAGACCTTACAGGGCATGTCTTCTGCTTGGCCTTCCCGGACCAACTTCAGTATAGAAGCCTGGAGAGGCGGGATCCGGCAGAAATTCAGCAATAGTTGTGCCAGTTTCGTCTTGGAGCATGTCAAGGAAGTGGCAAGCATCCGTGCCTTCAAATCTGCACGTTTTGCAGTTTGTGTGCACTCTCCGTGAAGCGATGGTCCTAAGGGCGCTGAATGAGGAGCAGGTCAAGAGAGAGGCCTTCGATGCCGGGCTTCGGAAGTAGCAGTGGGAGAAGAACATGCCGGAAGCTTTCGCGTCGGGCAGCGTTTCAGGGCTTCCAAGCTTCCGAGCTCGACGGACAAATCGGAGATTCCAGTTGTCAAGACCGATGAGTCAGCAGCAGGAGGATATTGCGTGTCGATGTTTCCTGGTCTGTGCCAGGACACGAACACCACTCAGAAGACCAACGCGACGGCCAAGATGGAGGCTTTGAAAACTGCAGATGCCGACCTTAGCCTGTCTGCTGCGACCCTCTGCCCCAGCTCCTCAGCACCGAATCTTGATCAGGGCAGGGAGTTGAAGAGTCCACCGTCCGGGCTCACACAGCGGCCCAGCACCCGGAGAGCTGCAAAGTGGTGTCGAGGGGGGTACCAATCTCCGCATGGGTTTATGGTTTTGAGGACGCAGGCATGACCTTCTGAGGAGACTGGCTTTGGATTTGGAGGTAGTAGGCTTGAAATGCTTGTTTCGGAGCGAAACATCCCTGCTTTGAGGTCACCGCCTCCTTCCAAGCGCATGAAGGGGAAGAAGGGAAAGGCACGCATGTCAGAGAGGTGGTTTCAGTGGAGAGTGAAGCCGAAAAGGCGCTTCAGCAGTCAGGAAGCGCCGTGGAAGCGTCGCGCCAGGCCCAGTATTTGGAGCCGACCATCGTTCCCGACTTCAGCATCATGCCGCCCATCCAGGCGAGCCTGCATGGGGCGTCCTTTGCGTGAATGTTGTTCGGCAGTAGCAGAGAAGACTGTCTGCGTGGGTTCGTCAAAAAGGGTCACATCCGTATATCCGATACGTGCTGTTCACCTGCCTATGGCCCAGCTGTCGGCATGCGCCCTGAGAGTGCTAGTCGCAGGACGCAGAGCAAGCACTTTGCGATCCGCAAGGCCCGGAATTTCAACGCTTTTGGCTACATGGGTCCTACGTCCGTTCGCATGACAGCCAGTCTTGGCCGATGCGCTCAGTGCTCGCTAGCTCGAAAGTTGCTCTCTCGCTCGCACCTTCCTGCCCTCCTCGAATCCCCTCACGCAATCACCCGCTCACTCATCCAGTCGCTAACGACCCACCGGCCGTACAGTACAGCTGTATATCGGCGCGCATCCTCCCTCCCGCCCTCCTTCCTTCCTCCCTCCCTCTCTCCCTCGCTTCCTTTCTCATTCACGCACTCCCTCCCGCACTCCCTCACTCGTTCCTGTCAATTGAACTCACCTTACTCCAAGCCTTCAACTCAACCTCAACGCAACTCAACTGCCTTGCCCGCCGCCATACTTCACCAGGCTCCGCCATCCAGTCCACTCCCCTCCCTTCCTACTTGACTCACTGACTCATGCACTCTACGTGATCTCTCTACCCACTTGTGTATCACACGACCTGCAATTCCATCTAGCCCTTTTTCCACGTTCGAACACAGCTACGGAATCAAGCATCTCTCTTTAGAGCCATGTCTATCTGTCTGTCTTTCAGTCAGTCCGTGGGTCTGTCTGCTTGTCTGGCTAATCTATCTGTCTATCCTTCCATCTATCTGTACTTGCTTGTGAACTGTCCAAAGTCCGGAAGTTTGCCACTTCGACATGGAGAGAGAGTGAGAGAAAGCACGCACCTCATGCCCGGGAGGAGGGGGAGGGAGGGAAAGAGCTGCTTCAACAGCAACGAACAACTTGCCCCTCAAGCTTGGCGAACGAAAGAGCGAGAGAAAAAAGAAGAAAGAGCGACAGAGAGGGGAGAGGAAGACCTACTTCTGATCACTTACGCCTGTGACATCCGCGATGCAAAGTACCATTCATTCGTCTCTAGTTGGGATGCCTTGTAGTTCTCGGTTCCGAATTCCTAGAGCTTGCTAAAGCTAAGTCGGATGCCTTGAAGCTGAGCTCAGCGGTCTTGGGGAGGCCTAGTTCGCACGTGTGCTTCCCGAATCTCCTTGTTCCTGCAGCGGGTGCAGAGGTGGGCTTTGCCATGCTTGGCCTGTTTTGCATCTGCAACTCCGGAGTCCCGAGGGGTAATTTGCTTGAGATTCTGCAACAGGTTCCTCCTTCGTACAGCAGCCTTCGCTTTCTACCAGAATAGCTAGGCAAGATCGTGTCAGGCATGACGCATGCTCGCCCGTTTTCAGGCAACTAGACCGCATAGAAGGCCTGGAGCACAAGACCGTCGAGGAGGCGAAGCGTCGGGGCTTGGCCTTTGCAGTTTGTTGCAAAAGGCTTCGGATTCGGCAACCCGGTGCTCACAGGACCTGGAAAGCTTCCCCAAACCCTGGCATGGTGGAATCGCAAGCCCAGCGAGCTGCACCCAAAAGCCCTCGAAGCCGTGCTCAGATCGCCGACTTCGTGGAAGCCGAGTTTTGGGCATGCGATCCGCTTCCCTGCCTCTGGGAGGAGGCTGAGGGTCTTTGGATTCACTTTCTCCGGTCCATAGCCTTCCGCAAGTTGTAGCACTGGTTGTATTTCAGGGCCACTACTGTTGAAGCTTGGTGCAAGGCCAAGGCAGCCAATGATCGCATTTTGCGCTCACATTCCCCGTGTCTGCAGGTGAGCCTGCCGTATGGAGAGAGTGTGCGATATCGCCGGGAACCCTATCAAAGCCCACGTTGTTGTTTGTCCCTTCGAGATGTTGTCGGCCTCGAAAAAAGTGCCGGCTTCACCATAGCAAGGCCTCAGCACAACGTGCAGGTAGATCCAACTCGCTCTCCCAGGCATTGGACCCTTTTCTCTGGATTCCCAGGGCAGGCGGTCCTACGAGCAGGACAATGGCACCGGTAGGCCAGCAAGGGGAGTCAATGCATACCTCGTGAGCATGCACAGAGTTTGCGAAGTTCTTATGCATGTTGGTTGCTTCCGTGGTGCGCTGGGAGTCTCGGCTTCGTTTCCTTGCCTGGAAGTAGGCCCTAGGTAGACTGATGAGTCTCATGCCTGGCGCAGCAGGTCGACCTATGGAGCCGGACCCCAGCTGCTTCGAGCCGAGCCCAAAGATGCAGCATCTTGAGAGTCTCGGTGTTCCCTAAGCGCGAGGCTTTGGTTCTGCTTTCCGAAGCCTTAAACCCTGAACAACCCTAAACCCAAAAGTGGATGTCCGAGCGATGATCATCATCATCATCGCATTGCTTCTTCCGCTTAGGTCCCGCTTTGGCTTTTCACGCCCAGCGCCGGCCATTTCCGCTGCCTCACAGAGGCAGGACATGAAATCCGCAGTCATGATGAAAGAGGTCGAGGTCGCGGAACAAGACGACGTGGCCAAAGCCTTTTTTCTTATCCTTAGGATTTTCGAGAGCGGAAGAAGTTGGCAACTGTTGACTCGTGGTTTGAGCTCTTTTCGAGCGTGTCCCGCTTTTCCAGTGGAGCCTGCTTCATTCGGAGCGGCTGCGGCGGATACTTCCGGCTGCTGGAGATGGTGCGGAGCCTACGAGCCATGAACTGCTGAAGCCGTGTCTGTGCCTGGGCAGTGTATCTGGAACTCTCTGTAGTTCCGTTCCGCTTCTCTGGCAGACCCAGGCGGCAACGGCTGCTGCGGAGGTTGCGGGGACCTCAAAACTGCAGCGCTCCGACGGCGGCTCCGCGGAGCCGGTGGGGTCCGGGCGAGCAATACTTGGGAAGCTTTAGGTGGAAGCTGTCGATTGCTACTACAATCAGGGCTGCAAGCCCTTCGTGGCTCCTCTTGGTTTGAGGTTGCGCTGCCGGCTTCCGCAAGAAATCGGCCAAGTCGGGGCCTCAACGTAGGGTGCTGCTATTGGAGAGGCGCAGTCATGCTTCAAGAAGCCACCGTTTCAGGTCTTCCAAGATCGCTTCTCAGCCATCCATGGGCCAGGCACACAGGCAGTTTCGACAATCCTGTGCTCCTTCACGGCCCGGTTTGTAAAAGGGTGATCTGCACATTCCATAAGGGGTTTGAGGCTTGAAGTCTTGATGCGTCGACCTGGCTCAGGGTCTTGGGAGTCTTGTCTTTTAGTAGACTGCAGTCGCTACCTTTGAGCGAACTTGGCAGAGGAATCTCCTCCATGGAGGTCTTTGCGATGAAGCGGACAATGCGGGATTCAGCGTTTGAGCAGTGTGTCGTCTGAATGTTTTCTCAGTATGCAACAGACCGCGGAGAGAAAAGCAAAGGCTTGTCAAATCTAAGGCTTCCACCAGCCGAACTGCCACAAAAAACGGGACCCAACCTGATTGAAGCAGCAATGGCGAATAATTGTTACTCGAGTCTTCCCTCTTATGTCGGGTGTTTGCAGTTTGTCAGTCTGCACATCAAGGGCCCAGCATCATGCTTTGATCTTGTTCGGCTCAGGTGCATTGAGCACCATGCTGGCTGGGCATTACGTGCAATGGGCATGGGACCCAGAAGGACGTCACTGAGTCGATCGAGCCTCCTCGCTTTCATGTCCCAACCCCGCAGCCGACGGCCCCAGGTCCACAAAAACGAAGAGATCCGTGGCATGGTCCAGAGGCGAAGTCGACACATGTTCTACTAAGATGGTGCTAGAGGATTTTTGAGAATCTCCTTCAATTCCAGATCCCACGGCCCACACAGAAGCTCCAATCTCCTTCAAGTTTGGCAGATGTTGACAGTATGACATGGAAGATTGATCCGGCACGACGGCCTCGACGTGCAACCTGCACATGTTGCCCTAATCCGTCCGTCGCATTCCTGTTGCGTGTTCCAGGCAGTCGCTTGGGTGTAGGCAATGGACAGAGTGCCGAGACCCGTACGACTTTCATTGTCAAGCCCGATCTATAATGTGTAGCAGGCCGCGAGAGTCGGGTTGTGCAGGGTGACTGTGGCAGTCAGTGGCAGTCATCGCAACTCCGTGACAGCGTTTTTGCTGCAAAGCGGGTGATGACCTTGGTCCCGACAGGTTCGTGCGACTCTACAACAATCCGGAAGAGATTGCGGAGCGCCTTTGATCACGTTCGGAGATGTCACTGTGTCACTGTCGGGGTTCTTCCACTGCTGCCGCACGAAGCCAAGCTCTAGCCGTGGGAGAGTCTGTCCCAACCGTTCAGGTGGAGTAGTGTTGCAGAAGCCTCAGGGATAGAGCTGGAAACCATAACTGGGCATAGACCAACGATCTCTGCACAGCAGCAGAGCTTCGAGGAGGCATTTTGGTGTTGAGCCGAATAGCCCGTAGCTTGCGCCCGACAACCAAGGGCGCCTGCAGACGCGACGGCCGTGCGGTCTTTGAAGGTGCCCCGAGAAAATGCCTGCCCACTGCGCGACCCGGGAATTTGATCGTGACTGAAGGAGTATCTGAAGAGTTTGGTGGTTCCGGGTTCCAGAGCGAGTTGAGGCGTAGACCATGCTGGCACGCTTCTTCGCAAGCAGTTCATTACAACACACATCTTAATAGCCTCAACTTCTGTAGCGCTGCTGGTTCGCACATTCTCGGATTCGCCAGGCCTCGATTCCTGTCCTTGTGGGTATGCCTCTATGACACTTGTGACCGAATTCGTGCTCGCAGACGCCAGAGGGCGACACGACACCGCTGCCCGAGAAGGCGCCGGGAATTGATGCCAGCAGAGCCACGCCAGGTTCGTGTCGGACTAGCACGGGTTTGCTGTGAATTCGAGTCCGGGGGATACCCAAAGACTTACCAGTCCGGCACAGTTGTGGGCACGTTTGCAGTCCTTTGTCAATTTGGCCCGCCGGCCGCATATTGGTGTCTTGAGACTTGTGTCTGCTGCCGCGCACCATTTCGCTTCGAGACCACACTTATCTTGTCCCTGCTTCGTAAAGATGAGACAAAGTAAGTCCTAGTCACTTGCGTACGTCGTCAACTCTCCCCATTTCATTCTCAGCTGAACTTGAGCTGGTGAGGTTTCGCATGCTATGGCCATCAGCGAAGCAGTCTTCGTTCCTGCCCTTTGTTGCCGGTTGTGCTAAAAAGCCGGGGTAGTTGTCGCGATGGTTATTGCGGGCCTTAAGATTTGACGAGCACTGTCCTTTTCACATCGACAAAACAGGTAGTGGCCCCTTTCATCGCGTGACTCTCGTAAAGTGAAGCTTACACCGTTTGGAAGGAAGGAATCTTCCCGCCAAACATTCTGGCCGCGGCCTTGCACTGTCATCCACAGGCTCTTCAAGGATGCCTGCTCCTCCTTTTAAAGGTTCATCTACGTCTACAAGCAGTGGCCTTTTGCCCTTTTTGTTTTCGGGTTTCCTTACACTAGGAAACAGTGTACCCTTATTGTTCAGGGGATACTAACCCTGGTTCAGTCTTTAGGTGGCTGGATCTTTTTGAGAGCTGGTGCGCAAAGAAGCGATGCCGAACGCATTTGAGCCGAAACAGGCTTTTGAATGTGGCTCGGACAACAAGTTCCTTGCAAATCGTGTGCTTGACTCTTGCGACTGTTGCATCGTTTCAGGCCTTTCAAGCTATTGTCGGTGTTGTTTGAAGCCCCTCTCGCGGCCCAGTCCGGCAGCGTGGTCCCGACGGAGGAGCCCATGCAGGGATCCTAGCAGACCGTGCTCGGTGGTGCATGTGGTCGCTCAGCAAGCAGCTACGGGGATGCAAGCTTTGCAGGACAATATAGCACGACCAGACTGAAGCAGGCTTCGGAAACTTCTAGAAGCAGCTGCAAGCACAGCCACGTGATCTTTCTGACAAACTGCTTGCTGAGATAACCCCCCCCTGCATGTTGGTGAACAAAGCCCACCTCTCTGAGCTGTGAAGTGCCGAGGGCGAAGATCGGTCCAGCACCAGGCAGGAAGAAGAGGGGAGATACGGTTCTAGTAAGGGTTTCACAAAGCTTCCGACTATAAAGATTGCAGTTTTCGCTTTTAGTCCCGAGTATAAGTTCTACAAGGGTACGATTATGTGTGTATTGAGAGCTGAGCTAACTGGCAGTTGCGAAAGCGCACAAACCGGACAGCTGTTGTGAAGAGGATAATTTGGCAATAGACAAGGATATCTATCTTGCTTAGCCACTCACCGATGAATTCGTGAAAGTCCGCAGATCCCGGAGAATGAAATGGTGCGGAGGTATGCATGAGATCCTGGCAATCACACCTTTGGCACTCGTGTTGTCCTCTGCCTCAGGCAAATTCAGTGCGGCGTGCCGCAAGTACCTTCTGGAGGGCATGGGTCACTGGGCCCAGGTAGGAACGTTTCCACAAATCGTTGACGGTTGCCTGCGAACATGCCCAAGCAACAGGCGGGCCACAGTTGATAATTTGCTTGTGCCTGTACCAGGCGAGCATGCACCTAGTACGCTTCCACGAAATCCGATGCAGAAGTCGACAACAGACATCATGGAACAGGTGGACTGTTCAGCCTTACCCAGATTGCATTCACTGGGCCTTGCGCACTGCATGTTTGCTTGCAGCTAGCTTGACTTGCTTGCGCTTTTGCTCGCCGAGCTGTGCCCGGGCACTTTGCATTTTTTTTTTGCTTCTGTCGTATGCGGACATGGGATTGCATCTAGTGCTTCCCATGTCAAGCTTTGTTTGCAGCCATTCTGTCAAGCTGTTTCCCTGAAGAGTTCTCATAACGCAAGCTTGGCACATGGCTGCTTAGCGGAAAAGGCTGCTTCGGTTCACGGCTTGAGCATCTCTATTCTGCAGTTGCACAAGGCTGAACTTGCTAAAGCTCTGAACTCCCTGAACCCCTAACCCGCCTGTCCTAGAACTTGCCAAGTTTTCGTGATGTGCCGAGGTGTCAAGACTCAGACGCTGATAGAGCTGGCCATGCCTGCGGCTCATGCTGACGGTGTGCAGGTTGAGATTTAGGGCATAGAGCTCCAGCTTCTGCAGCGTTGTGAAGTCGTTCTGATGATAGGACTTGTCCCTGTAGATCTGGCGAAGAGCTCCTAGAGCTCGGTCTTCGGCATGGGTTTGATAGTGAGGACCCTTGCCATGTTCGGTGATATCGTTTTAGGTACGATCTTGGTTTCTCAAGATGCACAGACAGATCTCAGCCAGTATGCCAGTCTCGTAAGTGAAGGGGTCCAGGTGTCATTCAACTTCCACTGCTGGCTGCTTTCCCAGGCGGTTGCGCTTCCCTGCTGCCCCATTCGCCCAGGCCTGAATTTAACCATGTTCGAGATGTGCATGCCTACCCTTCCCTTTTAGAGCTATTCAAGACCTTGTGCTTGCTTGATGCAGTGCAGACTCAGAGTTTGAGTCGTCAGGTTTTACTAAATATCGAACCCTCCATGATCCGTAAAGAGAGGGGCCGAGGAATTTTCGATTGTAGATCTGACGCAGCTGCACATGACCTCTCAACCCTAAACTGCAAGCCCTAAACCCTAAACTCCAAACCCCAATTGCCGGTGCATGTCTTTGCACCTTTGGCGCTTCCAAGTTTCGCGGGCTGACAGATTCCGTGAGGGAGGATGTCCTAGCGAGTTCTGCCGCGAGCTGGTAGCATCGAACGCCTATGAGATAGCAGACTGACGAGCATGACCTATGAATGACCTATTGGCATATGTAGTTATGGCGATGTTAGTACAACCTGCTCCGCATGTGACAGGAAGCTGAGCGACAGGCTGGGATTGGTTTTCTGCCCATCCAGGGCATTCGACGACATTGGCTTAAAATGCTTGACATCTCTGTAAGGGCGATGTTGGTGTTGTTGAGATGGGCGTGGGCAAGCGATGGACATGTGGCATTCAGTTTCATATGGTTGCTGGGCTCAGTCTTCCAATGTTCTTGGGGCTTACTTGTTTGCACCACTTGCTGTGCCGAAGGGTGGAGAGCTTTTATAGCCGATATTTTTCATACTCAACAAGGCGCTGCCTTATTTTGTTCAGTTGCTTTGTGCACTGCATCCTTGCAGAGTTCATTCCGGAACGAGAAATGAAAGCTGGGCACACCTAACCTCTTCAACAGGCTCTGGCTTCGTGGCAGGTATACAGTTTCTCAATTTCTCAACTATATAGTTTGCGAAACAGATCAGGTCCAGCTGTCTGCTGTTTCTTTACAGACCTCTGTGATGTTGGTCAGCAGAAGCGACGAAAGGGACCGGGACGCACGCAGGAGGGTGCCCAGCTGTCCAACCCTGCGGACTTCCGGGCCACGGCTGAAATCGTCGCTCAGGGCATGATTGAATGCGCTGATGCAGCTCTCTAGGATCTTATTTGTTCTTGTTCATGAAAGCCAATAAAAACCTCGATGATAACGGCATGCATAGCCATAAACACAGTTCTCAGTAGAGCACTTATCATTGTACACAGCCATAAAACCTACCAAGGTATGTGTCACATATGTGAAGTACTACTAACTTACTCCGTCCCGGCTTGATGCCCAAGTCTTGCATCATTTGGCAAGACTGTGGCCTCCTTTCAGTTAGCCCAGATGCAGAAAAGGCAATACACTCCGTTCGGCAAGGAGGTTCACATTTTATGGCGTTGACGGGAATAAACGGCAGGGAACGCGTTTGGCACCATTTGGAAAGAGCAGGGGACGGTAAGCAGTTTTTGATTTTGACGTGTAGCTCAAGTGATCAGAACTGGCACGAGCCCTGCCCGAAGCAGCTGCTGATGTGTTCCGTACTATTCCATAGCATTGAGAAGCACAGAGGCACAGAGGCCAGAAGACCAACAGACCCGCCGAGCAAACGTGCACAAGAATCCATGAGCCAATTTTGGCATAATCTTGGGTGGGATATATCGGAGCGCAGTACGCTTGCTATGAACAGTATCAGTAGCGGCAGCCTGGTTGACTTCTCGTCAACATGGGCGTAGGACCTCCTTCTGAGTCGACAAAGAGAGACTGACGCGGCGTTTGCAGTACGCGACCCGAACTCCAGCAAGCTTCTTCAATGCCCGGTCAGGTCGCAAATCCGACGCTGCAAGTCCTCCTCGGTGATAGGCTCTCGGGTCCCTGCTTAACAAGACTGGCTTGAAGTCGAAATTTCGAGAGAGAGGTCCGCCTTCCATGTCCAGTTGTGACAGAAGTCAGAGTGTTCGGACGAACCCCGCAGAGATTTTCAGCCTGAAATCTGCATTGTCTTGAAACATCCTTAAACCCTGTGATCCTGAAACAAACCCTAGACCCCACACTCCTAAACCCTAAGCCCCTAAACCTTCACCAGGTATGCAGATTGGGCCAGCGCTGGCTACATGCTTCACTACGAGCGGCTGCCTCCAGCTCAGGGGTTGGATACGTCGTAGAAGCCGGGTCGGAAGATCCAGCGTACAACATGGCCCACTATGTATAGAGTTGTGGGATCGAGATCGCGATCTCTAGGGATCGCTCAAGACGACTTGCAGACCAGGTCTCAACAAGATCCCGACAGGATGTACGCTTCCATGCACGCAGGAAGAAACTGAGGTTTCCATCATTTCACCATCTCGCATTACTTCACGTGGTGGTTTCTGGTGGGATAAGATAGCGCTAAGGCTAGCGGGGGCAAGTGCTGATGGCACATTGGCGGCCGTGGGCAGCCAGGAGCGGGTAGGGTGCTACTTCTTCAGCCCTTCAAGCCTTTGCAAGCTCCCAGTGGGTTTAAATGCCACTCTCTGCCTGGACAAACTTTACGTGCAGCTGTGGGCCGTTGGTCAATTTCTCAGTTTCTTCGTCAATCGGGATCCTTCTTATTCACTGCTGTGTTGTTGAAAATTCCGGAGCTTTTGTTTGTTGATGCCCGCAACTGCCCGGCTGCAATCAATCTTGGTGTGCACAGAAATGTGCCCCGCTTGCAATCTTCGTTCCAAATGCGGCCAGGAGGTGGGGGACCCGATGCGCCATGAGGCATGGACGCTATGCTGCGACATTTCCACCTGCTTGTGCCAATCCTTGGATGGTTGCATGCTGCACTCAGGCCGCATGCTGCACCCAGCCATCCACATACAGAACACATGCAGACTTTAGTTCCAAGAACCTGGCTCAGCAAATCTTGGACATGATCCCAATCCAGCCAGGTCCAAAGGGCGGGAGCGGCAATGGTTAAAGCCATCAAGGCCGGCTCACGAGAAGCTCCACATTGGGCGACAACAGACATGCCAATATCTCGCTATCCCAGTATACAAGTAGTATAGTGTGGTATACTATACTGTAAAGTAGTATAATGCGATGTAATACGAGACGTATAATACAAAAGACGACAGTATTTAATACTATAATACAGTATGATCTGATATGATGTGATATGTGATGTGTGATGTGAGATGATATGAGATAGTATGATGTGGCATAATATGATGTATACATCATGCCCTGCGGCACCCGGGGCCTGGCTTTTATCTGTCAGCTGCGAAGCCGCGCACGCATCAGGCGTTTGCCAAGGCCGATCTCAATGCTCGATGTGAGCCATGCGCTCAGGGTGAAGAGGTTTGGGGTATAAGGCGGTACAAGGCGGTCCAGGGTTTAGAGTTTGGGCTCAGAATGTGCTTGAGAGTGTATTCCGAGGTTGCTTCCATCTTGCAAGTTGAGAGCTTGGGACCGATGTTTCGAGAAATCGGACTTCAAGTCATCGAAGAGACAGACTATGACAGGCATGTTGCTGCTCCAGGCATTTCCTCGCCTCATCGGGTGATCCAAATCCTAGTGTTCGACCGTCGGACGGGGTCGTTCTTCAACTGACGTCGGCTGGCTCCGGCACGAATTCAGATTGTTGGCACCTCGGTCCGTCAACCGTGTCATGTGCTGTGATGCTCAACCCTCAAACACTGGTAAAGCTCGACTGCCCCGAAACCCCGTGACCCCCCAAGCAACAAAGCCCCAAGAATCCCAAACCCTAGAGCCACAAACGACCGGCTCGTGCCCAAACCCCTGCAGACCTACAGCAGCATCCCACAAAAGCCATAGAATCCTGAACCCTGGAGGCCTTGACCCCTCCAAGGCCCTAAACTCTCAAACCCCCGAAAGCCCCCCAAAGCCCCGCCAAGGCAGCACAACGAGGCGTTTCGGATGCGCTTAGACCGGCTTGCTCAGAAACCGGAAGGCGACGGCCGTGGGCCCAGAGTTGTTTCAGAAGCATTCTTGCAACTACTGTTGCTTACTGTAACTGTTATTATGTTTGTTGTTACTTGTTGTTACCTATTCTGGCTATTATTGTTATTATAATGATTAGTGTCATACTAGTAATAGTAATGGTGTTAGTCATCATAGTATTCGTATTAGTAATAGAATTAGTAGTAGTACAAGTATCAGTAGCAGTATCACTATTAGTATTAGTATTAGTAAAAGTATCAGTAAGAGTATTAGAATTAGTCATAGTCTAATCATAGTATTAGAAATCGTAGATATTCTATGCATACATGGCTTGCCCCAAAGATCTACAGTTTAGCAGGTTTGTTCAATGATCACTGCATATGTAGTAGCACGCATATACATATAATACAAGTACTGCGCTCAGAGCGGCTAGACCTTGAGAGGGTCGAACAACACAAACAAGAAGTGCTCGGCAGGCTACGACGACCACAGTGCAGTCGTACAGGTTTCCACGGGACTCGTGATGGTAAAGCACAAGAACATGGAAAAAGTCGATGCACACTTTACGTCTATCCCACTGCAGAAAAAGCGCCGAGAACGCAGTTTCGGGCATTTTCTATCCTGCCATAGGCAACGTTTATCCACTAATATGAGATATTATGAGGTAAATTTTCTTAGTGGCCCTAGTATTAAAAATTGCTGCTGTGCGTGCGAGAAGCACGAACGAATTCACACTGTCAATGCTCCAGCCCCTATAGCAATCGTAGTGTAGACCCGAGTCTTGTTTGCCAACTGTCATAGCAACCGTGTTGTAGACCGAGTTTTGTTTGCCAACTGTCACGTACAAACCCCTGCAAATCAAAATCCTATCTGTCTGAACCTTTTTCATGAGCAACAATTGCGCAAACAGTAGTCGAACATTCTGAATCTTGGTGCCGCCCTTTCCATAGTGTTGATATGACTCCTGGGAGCGAACCTGAACTGCCCAGGCCTCCGCACCTTTACAGTCGTTTACAATCTCTGGTGACCCTTCAAGGATATTCTTTACAAATCCACACGATGTATTTTGGCACGTGTAGAACGGAAAGATGTCTACGCGAGAACATCGCTACAAGCTAAGTGCTACTGCGTTCAGCCAGACGAAGTGCATTGGAAAGGGGTCCTTGCATTCCTGGCTTTTGCAAAGACACCAGATGCAAGGATTGGTCTGCGTCACCCTGAGCCCTGAAAACCCGAAGCGCCAACCCCAAAGCCCTGGACTCTGAACCCTACAAGCCCTAAACTCCAAACCCTGGACGCTGAACACTACTAACCCTAAACCCTCTACCCCGTGAACCCTAAACCCTAAACCCTAAACCCTAAACAAAGTGGGAAACACCGTTGGGTCTACTTTGCAAAGCCCTCAGTTTGCCAGTTCTCATCTCGCATAACTACAAGACCCTTTGCACTTGGAATAAGTGTTCGGGGCATCTAATTATACTACAGCATATAATCAGAAACCCCCCAAAATAGAACTAGTAGCCATCTGCTTTAGGCCCTTTAGGCCCGTATACTATACTACAGTTCATAATCAGAAACTCCCCAGCAATAGTGCTAGGAGCCATCTAATCTAGGCCCCCCATATTAGGCGATCCTGAGCCGGCGCTTCCCGAGGAGGCCAAGCTCTCTGTAAGTGAGCTTTGAAGTGAGTGGACTTCAGGGTTGGGGGCCTTAATAGACAGTGTGCGGGTTCGGGGTTTACGGTTGAGGGTGGAGGGTTTAGGGTTTTTTAGGGGTTTAGGGTTTAAAGCTACCAGGTTTGAACAGGCCTTCAAGGAGGGCCACAAAAAATGGCTCAGATCATGGGCCTGTGAAGTCTGTAGAGAGCTGGGCCCCAGCAGGAGCCTGTTGTATACGTGATCGGATATACTGTATACTATTAATATTATACTATGTTACATCATGTTATGTTATCTTATGTTCTGTTATACCATGCTGTATGATGCCTCGCGAGGTTATATTATACTATTGCACTATACCATAGCTAACTGTGCATTCTATCTTACTATATATCATGTCATATTATATTGTCTTGCATTATAGTATTTGCATCTTATGAATTCCGTACTACATAGAACTGAAGAAGCCAGACAGTCGCAAACAAGCCCCACGCCTCGAAGTCTGCTAGGCCAAGCCGACCTCGCCAATGCCGACGTCGGTGTGCCCCAGCCGTTGCTCTGTGTGGCATGACGATGCCCTGTATTTAGGCTTAAGAGGGTCTGGAATTTAGGGTTTATAGTTAAGTGGGTCTGGGGTTTGGGGTTTAGGGTTAAGAGGGTCCGGGATTAAGGGTTTAGGGTTAAAATGGTTAGGGTCTGGGCAGTGCAGAGCTCAAGATGTCCTTCAGATTCAGCCGAGTCCTTCGATTCCCGACGGGCCCAGGTCGATGCCGGCAATGCAAGCGATGCAAGCTTCTCACGTAGAAGGTCTTTAAGATCACTTTGGGTAGATGAAGGATTCTGTAATTTTGGGAACACGAATATCGTGAATGATCATGTCTTCTACCCTGTCAGTCTTCACAACGCAGCCAGAAGATCTGCGTCGTATTGAAGGAGCTTCCAAGACGTGGCCGAAGTAACGCAGGATCTCTAGCAGCGTTGGCATGAGCATTCATGAACGGCAGACAAGGCAAGGAAAGGGACTGCAATTAGAGTGATGCTGGCTGCCCAGATTGGCCTGTCTTGAAACTCCACAGCATTCTCAGATACGCGCGTGCAAGCAGAGGTGCCCCGTTTTCTTGCGAGAGAAGCCAGCATGTCCAGCTCGACTCCCAACATTGCTGCCCTCAGTTCAAAACGTGAAGGCTGGACAGATACGATCGCATTGTTTCCGAGTTCGTGACTTTGGCAGATCATGACTATGGACATCCCCCGGTCCGTGCTTCTTGCATGTTTCACACCGTGGGGCGAGACCTCGCGCAGCGCAGCACATGGTAGTTTCTCAAAGTTCGGACCCCTGTGAACCCACGAGATCAGGTGTACACAGGTCACGTTTTGGGTAGGCAGGTAGGGTGTCAGCAGCATCGTTGCTTGAGCTCCGTGTTGTTGCCACAACTCATACTGATGGTGTGAGCCGACGGACCAGAAGCCCGAACGTCTGTCCACGTGATTCACAGGCAACATGGATTTTCCAACCGGGGAGTCATTTCTCGTTACACTTCTCCGGAGGTCTGACAAAATCTTCAGGGGAGCCGTTGAGAAACAGCCAGTCCAGTAGGCGGGGCTCGACGGAGAGGACGAGGGCTTGATCGACAGGACACGATACAAAACGGCTTAGCACACCATCTTTCCCTGACGGCTTAAAAAGAAGACACAGAGTGGGATGTTGCTTAGGGAGTCTGATGTTGTCTCAAGCCGTCGATCCTCCGTCCGGCACACAGGGAAGTACGCTCCACAAGTGGTGGCCTGAAGTCGTAAAACGGGCCGAAGGCTTCGATGTGTCGCAGACCTTTTCCAGTGTAGATACAATGCTTCTAAAACCAGCTCAGTGCCATTCGTTCATAAGCAGGGAAGGGTGTTAATACACAACCCGCCCACACCATAAGACTTCATCATACGCAAAAAACATCGTAACTTCCAGGGTTTTCATACATCAACGGCCGGTTGTGTGGTATGCTGCGAATAGCAAAATTTGACATGCGCTGCTAGGGAGTGTATACAAACCTAGGGCTGGGGGAGGGGGAGGGGCGGTTGCAAGTGTGATTGCTGATAATGAGACAAGGACAGGCAAGGTTCATGGCTTGCAAGTCGCGACCGCTGTTCATAAACAACGTCCCCGTTAATAAACACCAGCCTGTTTATCAACAACAGCTTTTGCCTATAAGCGAGAGCCACATCAACAACACAGCGAATAGAATAGACCATTAGTGCAAACACAAAAAACCCGTGCTACTCAAACCGTCGAAACACAAGCCCACCAACCAAGAGGGAAGAAAACGAAACTTGACCATCAGAGAAGAACGATGGCCCCTCGCGAAACCTGTCCATGCACGAAGCAGGCCCCACAGTATCCCTTTTCTGTAGGGGTAATGCCTGTCTCGAGACACCATACCACGGCAGACCAAGTGCACAGTGTGCAGACGTGTGCAGAACCGCACGCAGTCCTTGTGTAGCTTTTAGATTATATTATATTATATTATGTATATATTATGTATAAAGTATATTATATTATATGGGTGGTTGTCAAAATTAGGGTCCCTTTTTGGGTCCTTATTATAATACGGCACCTATTATTTAGGGTACCCAAAACGGGGCCATAATTTTGACAACCACCCACATGTATATATATATATATATATGTATATTATATTATACTATATTGTATTTCTTATATTATATTCTATCAAAGGCGTTTCACTCGTTTGGCCTCACCTGCTCCTCGAACGCTCTCGCTGAGAGTTGTGGCTCAAGAAGGCCAAGATGAGCAAAACCCTGCCTCGGATCATCTCGAAGTTCACTTTACCCAACTGTGATCAGTTCCGGGGCACAGACAGCAGTTCTATTCTTCAGAGTGCTTCAACAACAGCTAGCTTCTCGAGTCCGTACATCATCACTGATTGATCCAAGACCGAGACTGCTTCGAGTCTGTCCAGAAATGGCGCGGAGCTCGCG